TATATATATATATATATATAAACATCTGTGATCACCTGGTTACAGATGATCAATGGTTACAGATGATCAATGGTTAGTTAGGTGAACTGAGAGTTTCTATTGATCTTCATTGTGATCAAAGTAATCTCATTATATCCTGTTAAATACGTCACAACAGTGAAGAAAGAATAAAGAATATAAACAGTGTATTGTGGTGACGTCACAGAAATAAAGATATCTATACTCTGATGCTAATGTTGCTCATGCTAACCGGCAGCTAGCTGATGCTAGTTAGCAACTAGAGGCTAATCAGTTGTTGGCTAACTTTAGCTGGACAGCTGAGGTCTAAACTCTTTGACTAACAATAACAACAGAAGCAGTTTATTGTCCTTAACGAACTTTAGAGGTGATTTATATTCAGCTAAACGTCAGTCATTAGCTCCTCTGTTAGCATTTAGCATTAGCGACGCGAATGATACAAAACTCCGTTTGAAATCCAGCTGATTGGTTTCTGCTCATCAACAGAACCGCAGAACTCTTTATAAATACAGTTAATCAATGAATGTGGTTAATTGATTCATTCGGCAAACATACATTCAGTCAGAGATGGTTTGTTTTGGTAGAATATGAAGTTAAATAACTGTATAATCGCGTTTTGACCTCAGCCAGAGGAACCACAGACAAACACGGTAATGTTTGATTATTTAACGTGAACTCAGAGATCAGATGCGAGTTCTCTCTCAGCCGAAGAGACGAGAGGAACAAAGTGAACAACCAGAGGTCACAATAATCATTTTACTCTATTTATTTAGTAACACACAGACACTGAACCCTTAAAGTGACGTCTTTCTAAAGGGGTTCTGGTATGAGCTCAGATATCTGAATTGTAACGAGCTGGTGTTAGAAGGTAACGAGTAGCTAACCCTCGTTAAAGTATGGAACAGAACGGCCTCGTTGTGATGACCCGGGTTAAACACAAAAACACCGATAAAGAGATCGATACAGATAAAGACGAGCAGCTGGAGGCCTGTGGCCGAGAAGAGCACGAGCTCCATAAACACTCGGCTCCACGCTCGTGACAACCAGGTACAGGTGTGTGTTTACCTGCACAGGTTCCTGCAGCACCGTCATTCCGTCTGTCTGCTCTTCTTCGTCTGTTTTCCCTCTTTTCTCCTCTTCCCTTTCTTCACTTTACTCTCCAGGAGGAGCTGCGGCCGAAGATTCGAACTCACCGACCGTTAACAGCCGAACACAACCGAAGGATGCCGAGGCGGAGATGAACGAGTGTCAAACGGAGAGACCCGAAGCTGCAGATGCGCCCCCTGCTGGTGACATCAGAGGTGTAAGATAAAATATGATATGGAGGAGCCGATCTGAGCTCCTTCTGTCGGGTTAGTGTTACTCGGCTTAGTCTTACCTGGTTCCTATAATGTTTCCTATAATATTTCCTATAATGTTTCCTATCAATGTGTCCTATCAATGTTTCCTATAGTGTTTCCTATAGTGTTTCCTATAATGTTTCCTATAATGTTTCCTATAGTGTTTCCTATAATGTTTCCTATAGTGTTTCCTATAGTGTTTCCTATAGTGTTTCCTATAATGTTTCCTACCAATGTTTCGTACCAATGTTTCCTATCAGTGTTTCCTATAATGTTTCCTATAGTGTTTCCTATAATGTTTCCTACCAATGTTTCGTACCAATGTTTCCTATCAGTGTTTCCTATAATGTTTCCTATCAATGTTTCGTACCAATGTTTCCTATCAATGTTTACGATCAATATTTCCTATTAATGTTTCCTATAATGTTTCCTATCAATGTTTACTATAATGTTTCCTACCAATGTTTCCTACCAATGTTTCCTATCAATTTTTCTATCAATGTTCCCCATCAATGTTTCCTATAATGTTCCCTACCAATGTTTCCTACCAATGTTTCCTATCAATGTTTCCTATAATGTTTCCTATCAATGTTTTATATAATGTTTCCTGTCAGTGTTTCCTATAATGTTTCCTATAATGTCTCCTACCAATGTTTCGTACCAATGTTTCCTATCAGTGTTTCCTATAATGTTTCCTACCAATGTTTCCTATCAGTGTTTCCTATGTTTCCTATCAATGTTTCGTACCAATGTTTCCTACAATGTTTCCTATTATGTTCCCTACAATGTTTCCCTACAATGTTTCGTGTCAGTGATTCCTATCAATGTTTCCTATCAATGTTTCCTACATGATTTCCGACAGCTTATTTTAGTTTTTGTCCTCTCTGCAGCTTTAGGACTTTACATTCCTCATCTCTGGAACGATTAATTTATCTTAAACATGAAAAAATATGACAAAGGTTTATTTGACAAATATTAAGTTAAATGTTTGAAGTATGGAGAAATGTCTATGTGATGTATATTATTTACTGTTATTTATTAATGTTGATAATTTATTGTGTTTATTAGCAGTTTGCTATATTTGCCATTAATCTTATATGTTATTCTTTTTTTGTTTTTTACTTATTTGTTTCAAAGTAAATAAATATGAAGACAATAATACCAGATGGTTGTCAGTGTCAGTAGATGACTATGAAAAAAATTGTTAAATCCGAGCAAGGAATTGTGGGTATTATATTGTCTCCTCCTTTCCTTAAGGATCGTCCAGTGTTTCTGTTAGGGCGAACTTTTGAACACAGAGAGAAATCGCCTCCTGCAGCCATGTGCTCTCAATCGCCTCCAAAACACTACAGCAAGTTTAAGTCAAAATCAAATGGATTTATTATCCATACAAACAGAAAAACAGTTACAAACCGAATCACACTATTAATAACAAAACAAACATATATATATATATATAATGAAAGTGAGGCCCCATCCGGGCCACACGACAGACAGTTGTGTCTGCCCCATGGTCAGGAGTTGGTCTGAGGATCTCCTGCAATTCGAAGATCCTTTGTTCCTCCAAAGTTACATCTCTCAGCTCATCGATCAGCTCATTGATTGGCTGAAGTCCAACAAGCCCCTCCTTGGCTCTTGACCTGTTGACACCTCTAACACCTCACACAGCCACTTTCGCCCAACCCCCGCTCTCAGTACATTCCTTAACCTGATGACACAGACACTCAAACACACTCCTTGGTTTAAAACTTCCGAAGTAAATATACTGTTTCACATAACATCCATAATTAGGAGTGCTTTAAAACTTAAATTCCTCACATTTCCTAAGCTAAAGGAGATAAGAAAGGCAGCATTGAAGCACCTTTCCTTTCACTCCATTAGGAACCCAATGAGCAAACGGCATCACATGATGTCATCCAACAATACTTTCCCCATAGACTTAGAATGGGAAAGATCATTTGATGTGAATGAACTTCCTGTATGAACACTTGAATATCTCTTATTTAAATTATCAGCTCCTAAGAAAGAACGACCGGGTTTAGAGGAACATCTGGCTCATTTTACACTCTGGAGTCAAACTGTCTTGTTTTTAAGTCTCTGAGCATCTTTCATAGGAATCAATGGGGAGCTGCCTCAAGGCATCACCCAGTTTCACAAAGAAACAAAGATAATATTCACTTTTTCACTATTTCCTCATTCTAAAATGTTATCCACATTTTAAAGCTGATATTACATTTTTTTTTCATTTTCAAATTAATTGAGTCTCAATAAAAAGTATATAACCGTAAATACTGTTGTCCAGTTCAGCTGATATCTTTATTCTTGTTTTTTTTTCTTGAGTTATTGAAAAGGTCTAAAATTACTCATTCAATCTGTACTTGTGTAGATACCCTGAAGGACAGCTGGTGCTAGCTTTGGTGCTATGAAAGGATGCTAGCTCTGGTGCTATGGAGGACACTAGCTCTGGTGCTATGGAGGATACTAGCTCTGGTGCTATGGAGGATGCTAGCTCTGGTGCTATGGAGGATGCTAGCTCTGGTGCTATGGAGGATACCAATTCTGGTGTTATGGAGGATACTAGCTCTGGTGCTATGGAGGATACTAGCTCTGGTGATATGGAGGATACTAGCTCTGGTGCTATGGAGGATACTAGCTCTGGCAATATGGAGGATACTAGCTCTGGTGATATGGAGGATACTAGCTCTGGCGATATGGAGGATACTAGCTCTGGTGATATGGAGGATACTAGCTCTGGTGATATGGAGGATACCAATTCTGGTGCTATGGAGGATACTAGCTCTGGTGCTATGGAGGATACTAGCTCTGGTGCTATGGAGGATACTAGCTCTGGCGATATGGAGGATACTAGCTCTGGYGATATGGAGGATGCTAGCTCTGGTGATATGGAGGATGCTAGCTCTGGTGATATGGAGGATGCTAGCTCTGGTGATATGGAGGATACTAGCTCTGGCGATATGGAGGATACTAGCTCTGGTGATATGGAGGATACTAGCTCTGGTGCTATGGAGGATACTAGCTCTGGTGCTATGAAAGGATGCTAGCTCTGGTGCTTTGGAGGATGCTAGCTCTGGTGTTATGGAGGATGCTAGCTCTGGTGCTATTAATATTACCTATTACTTCATGCTTATTACAGGGACCTGAATGTTTTTAGTGGTGTTTGTCATGAGGAGGAACTGTTCCCTCTTTAAAGTGCAGTTTAATTATCATGAGGAAAAACAACCACATAAACCTGAAGACACATGAAAAAGATACCGTGAACATCAGTGAGTTTACGAGTCATCGACACGCATCTGAATGCAACAAAACACTTTATTTCACATGCTGATGGTATGACATCACTTCCTGTTTACAACTGTCAATATAATAACATCAGAAAACATTTCATCATCAGCACAGAGACACTCAATCTGCATCAACAAACCACTGAACTGAGGCCAACACTAATGCTAATGCTAACGCTTGTTAACAGAGTGATATGACATGGAGGCTGAGCTACAAAAAACACAGGATTACATTATCCACAAGGGGTGTGGCCTCACAGTAGAGAGGCGGGGCTACAGGGTGCAGTTGGCTTCTGGAGAGAGTCGACATTTAGCCACCGTCAGGTAGGTCTCCACCTGTAAACACAAACTTCATCTTTATTACATCATTATGACATCATTATCATCATCATTACATCATCATGACATCATCATCATGACACCAAACCTCCCCTCTTCCTCACCTTGTGCATGTCTTTCTTGAAACAGGCCAGTAGTTCGTAGGTTCTTCTCAGCGACTCGTCAGCTCCCAGACTTTGATAGTAGTTTCCATACGGAGCCAGCTGGAGGGCGGAGCTATCAGGGAAGAGCTCTGCTCCATCCTGATTGGCCTGCAGGGTCAGGTGGTTAGTCATACTGGTACACTGTTTTCATTAGATTAGTGTTCACGATATCATTTATGTGTGTTCTTACCTTGATCAGCAGCAGGATTCCCGTCTTCAGTTCGGACAGTTTGGGGGAAATCTGGATTCTAGGAGCAGAACCTCCAGACAGGGAAAGACTGGGAAACTCCCAAGACTCAACCAATCGATAGGAGATAGATAACAGCTTCAACACCTAGAACCAATCAGATGATAGGAGATAGATAACAGCTCCAAAAGGGAATCAATGTCAAAATAAACAACTTCTCAGCAGAGATAAACATGTTTAAAGTTTGGTAGAAAAACGGCTAGCTAATATCTTCGTTCATAACTGCTTAAATTAAGTCTTAGTCTGACACAAGTATAGTGCAGTATTGTGTAGTAGTATAGTGCAGTATTAGTGCTGTAATGTGTAGCAAAGTGCAGTTTAGTGTAGTATAGTATAGTGCAGTATAGTGTAGTATAGTATAGTATAGTGCAGTGTAGTATAGTATAGTGCAGTGCAGTATTGTGTAGTATTGTGCAGTATTGTGCAATATAGTGTAGTGCAGTGCAGTATAGTGTAGTATATTATAGTACAGTGTAGTAGTGATAGTACTCTCACAGAGCTGCGTTGGGTCTCATGCTTGTCGATTGGGGTGATGATGTAATCAGAGTTGCAGAAATCTTGCAGGAAGATTTTGTTGAGTTGACGTTGCTCCTCGGTTTGCAGAGAACTCTCCTAACAAACACAAATACACCCAGTAATACCCCCAGTAAGACACACAGTAATACACAGTAATACACACAGTAGTACACACAGTAATACACACAGTAATACACACAGTAATGGTTCATATTTCCGTCTCTGTTGAGCTGCTGTTGACTTACAAAGTCGGAGAAGAGTCTCTGAGCGAGCAGGTGGAGGTGTTGAACTCTGCCAACAGCGATGGAGAACAGACGGCCGTCTGTGATTGGCTGAGAGGAGACGCCAAGACACACCACCGACAGCAGGAGGACAACTGAGAGACAGACAGGTAAGAGACAGACAGGTGAGACTTATAATAAAGTAAAAGAAAACATTACAAAATAAAAGAAAATGAGTTCTGTCTCAACAGCTCTATTCAAACCACTGATCTTCATGTCTTACCTCGGTCCATGGCTGGTCTGGGATCAGTTCTGGTTCAGGTTCTGCTAAATTTGATCTAAGGTCAGTTGTTCTGTGTGTTCTGTTTTCAGCTCAGAGTTTAGTGGTTTTATAGAAGAAAACTTGATGATTATATTCATCAACAGAAACATGAAACGAACAAACAACACTATGTGTGTGGGTGTGTGTTGACCTCTAATAACATTAACGCCCTAATAATAATATTTATTGAACATGAAAAACTGGGTGGTGACGTTCAATTGATTTTAAGGTGAAAATATTTCAATATGAAGAAAAAGTCAAAGTGACGTTACAAGGAAACTAAATAATAATAATAATAATAATTATTATTATAATAATAATAATTACAATATTCTTTATATTATTATTATTATTATATATTTTATGAATGGAAATCAAGATGTTTTTTGTAAGGGTTAAGTCAAAAAGAGGCCGAAATGATCGTGGAGCTACCAGAAAAAAACTATTCACATACTGGTTCTAATTTTCTGAAACAATGTTAAAAAAAAAAAAGAAATGTCCCTGAAAATGAAATAGCAGTTGCTACTGAGAGTAATACCTGAAGGACTGAGAGTAATAATAATAAAATCTCAGAGTGCTCAGAGTAATACCTGAAGGACTGAGAGTAATACCTGAAGGACTGAGAGTAATCCCTGAAGGACTGAGAGTAATACTTGAAGGACTGAGAGTAATCCCTGAAGGACTGAGAGTAATCCCTGAAGGACTGAGAGTAATCCCTGAAGGACTGAGAGTAATACCTGAAGGACTGAGAGATGAAAAAGTACAATACAGTACATTAGAAATCAGACGAAATTGATAAAGTACAATGGAGCACAGTGAGTACAGTAGAGATCAGTAGAGTACAATAGAGATTGTGTTATTTAAGAGGAATCATTTCAGTATTATATATATTATAAGTTCTTTATGTCAGCTGATTTACAGAAACTAGTTGCTGATGTAAACATATAAAAATGTTCTGTCCTTTCAGAAAACAAAGTCAGATGTTTGATGTTTTTGTCCTCAGAGATGTGAATTTATTCACAGGTGTCACTGATCTGAGGTCAGACATTCAGCAGAGAGGAGTGACATCACACTGGAAACTGAGTTTATTCAACGCTCCGTGAAACTGATCCGACCAGAGAGAGTTCAGCTCAGATACATGAAACAGGAGAAGTGACACAACAAAGATAACAGTTTCATCTTGTTATCCTCGTTCACGAACAGCTCGATAACAAAACAGCTCGTTAAATAACAGTTTGTTAACAGACAGCTCGTTACCTAACAGCTTGTTGATAAACAGCTCGTTAACAAACATCTTGTGAACAAACATTTAGTTAACAAACAGTTTATTATAAAAGTGTTTCTGTATAAATGTGTACACGTATAAATGTGTACAGGTATGAATCTGTTCAGGAATACAGGTGTACAGGTATGAATGTGTTTAGGCATAAAGGTGTACAGGTATAAAGGTGTACGGGTATAAAGGTGTACAGGTACAAAAATGTTTAGGTATTAAGGTTTACAGGTATAAAAGTGTACAGGTATGAAGGTGTTATGTCACAGCTCTGCCCCTTCTCTCCTGTCTCTTTATTTCTCACCCACCTCACTCACCTATCAGCTCATTCAGTGCACTTGTCAGCCTCCCTCATGATCAGCCTAACTCCCTTCACCTGCCTCTATCCAGCCACTATTTAAACTCCTGTCTCTCAGTCACTCCTTGCCAGATCATTGCCATGTCTACCCGCCCGTTTGGCTCGTCTTGTTCCCGGTTTCCCCGTCTGCCTGCCCTGCCTCGTCCTGCTGGATTTCCCCCCTCATCTCGTCTCGTCCGTGGATTCCCTGTTGTGTTCCTGTAAGTTTCCTGTTCTGATTTCATTATTCATTAAATACCTGCTTCACTCTACTTCTGGTCTTGTCTGCCTTTGAGTCCTCCACCACACCCCGTGACAGTTTAGGTATAAAGGTGTACAGGTATAAATTTAGTTAGGTATAAAGGTGCACAGGTATTAAAATGTTTAGGTATTAAGTGTAGCCCACCTTCTCAATTCCAATTTTAGTTCAGGATCTTCAGAATATACCTGTTGCATGAGAGGTGAATTGGAGAGGGTCTATGAAATTATAGAATTTAGGAATGTGCCTACAATAGCTAAATTTAAACGAATATACTCTGACTAAGGTGCAGAGAGACCTGGTTATCTTAATACAGCTATACTGTCCTGTGCGTTCAAACTCCCATGCATTCATATGTAGCCCTGTTTAGCCCTTACTTGCTACATTGACATACATCACTTCAACAAATTAATATTTAAACAATCAACATTTATTATAACATCAACATTGTGACCCACAGAAAAATACAATATAACACACAATACTGATACCCAAAGATGTGATAGTCAGTGTGACGGTACCAGGATGTTGGCGCGCTTGTTGGAGCTCAGTTGAAATCCTGAAGGAACATTTGTGGTGTACTCACTGTTCCTCGGCTACCCAGAGAGCGGCACGTCTAGTCTCCACAGATCCAACATCTTAGCTAATAGACTCAACAATTCAGACTTGATGTCTTAACCTTGCAAACAGGCTACTGCTTTGAAATCGTCTTTTGCTCCATCAGTTGAAATCACGAGCAGAAAACTACCATGAAAACAGCCCACTTTATTCCTCTTCAGAGCCGCAACGTTACTCCACGAACATCCGTGTTGATCCCTCGACGGACTGTCCTGTCAGCCTTTGCGTCTCCCCGAAAGAAAAACTCACCTCTAAAGTTAGAGCGTCGTGTTAAACAACTTCTATATTATCCTTTCAGTTCTCCTCGGTGCATTAACATTGTCTAGTTTCTGAAGTTAAAACAGTGCCCTCCGTCATTCCTCTCGACTCCCCTTTGTCCACTTCCCGCTTTCCGGTCCTTAGTCCCGCCCCTCTAACAACCTGGCAGGCCACCAAAAACTCCCATCAGACTCTTCTGATTGGCTGGCAACACAACGACACCTGACCAACCAATACAAGGACACGGGAGGTTCAAGGGCAACTCGAACCGTAGCACACATAAGCACTTCTCCAAACCATGAACACAAATGCAAAAGTACTGTTTTACAGACATTTAAAAAAAAGACATGTAAACAAATTAGCAGGGTGCTACATAAGGTTTACAGGTATAAAGTTGTACTGGTATAAAAGTGTTTTGTTATAAAGGTGTGCACGCTCAAACATTCAGAATCGACCAATCGGCAGGATGATAACACACCCATCCATTAAGTTTAGTTTTTTTATTAACGACAAGCCACAGTTTGACAGTTAGTCTCCAATTGAATTATTTAAAGAAAGAAAAGATGGACAAAGATTACTGCACAGATTAATACAAATAAATATTATAATAAACACTGAAATTCCACAAATAATACATGAAATAGTAAAGAAATAAAAAAAAAAATCAAAGTAAAGAGAACAGAAAAGAAGTCTGCAGCTTAATTCAATCATTAATGGTCAATATTTATTATTTCAACTTTTCTCAACGTACATCCTTGATCTGATACGAAGTATCGATCTGATACCAGTGCATCATAATTCATCTCTATGTAACAACGGCATTCATTCAAGATTCTGACCAAAAACTACATTTTAAAAGATTCAATTTGAACACATGACAATAACGTTATTAACCCTCGCCCAATCCTCAATTTTATTAAATGGACTTTGAACGCCTCATAATGTAACTCAACGGAACCCCCATTAACAGCTGTTAGCTTCATTATTTAGCCAATCAGGACTGTGCTGCTAGCAGCTAACGGCTAACGCTAACTAGCTCTTCTCCCGATTTCAACACAGATCTGTTTTTCACAATGTAGCATAATCAAAGTAAACAAAAGCTTGCAGGTCTGTATTTCCTGCAGGAGAAACGTCATAGACAACAGTTACATGATGTCATCGTCATAAGGAAGTACTTCTGTCTTCACTGTCACGTCCGTGTATGGCGGGGGCCTCACTTACTGATCTTTCAGTTTTATTTCAGACTGCAGCAGAAGGTTCACAAAATGTAGCTTGATTCTGAAAATGTAGATACACTACTACCAACACTGATAACATCATCACTGTTACTAATAACCTCAAGTTGACCTCAAACCTCAAAGTGTAGGTAGCACTTTATTTCTACTAGATTATGATATATTTCAGATGATTAACGGATCATCTTTGATCTAATTTGTTTGTTATATTATGATGAAGTACATGTTAAGCTAATAATTATATTTTAAAGACCATATTTCAGTTACCTTTAATGGAAATAATTTGGCGTGATTTGAAGGCTGACTTTATGATTTAAACAAGATGTTGTAATCTCGTTCTTTCTTTGGGTAGAACCATAGCAATCAGAAGCAATCACCTTCCAACCAACGTCTTGGATAAATAAACGGCACAAGTGATTGTAACCTTGTTTCCTGGTGGTGTGTGGCTCCAGTTTGAACATTAAATCCGTAACAAACACAGTGATAACACATTTGGTGAAGAGCCATCTATTGTTCAGGATCCGTCATCAGTTTTTATAGAAGCTAACAGAGAGATTAGTCCACTGCTCCTCCAACGAAGGAAAACGGGAAGAAACAGGAGACACGTGGTAAACATCAGACAATAGACTCCCTCAGGTTCTCATCCAGCAGGAAGTTGGAGGTGTTGAGAGGAGGAGCAGCGTGGAGTAGAAAGTCTCTCTGAAGCTCCACCCGGGTGGGTGAGACGGGCTCCTCTGTGTCCTTGCTGTCTCCGTACAGCTGACTGATGCGTTTACAGAGAAGTCCTTCTGTCTCAGGTGACAGCTCGTCTCGCCGTCCCTCCGTCTTCTCTCTGTATTTGTAGGAGGCCAATCTGACCGTCCGCTTTAGGAGGTGTTTCCTGTACACTCTCTGGATCACCGTCGCTGCCACCTCTTCCTGTTTCCTCCGCAGAGTGCTGCAGATTGGTTCATATGACACCTGTAGGTAACAATGGTTATCTGTGACTTCAGTATACTTTGATAAAGGAAACAATATCCGACCCTTTTAGAATATGACAATCGTTCAAACTGTCTAAAATAACAGAGTGAAACCTTGGAGGGATTGTTGGCCATGAACTTCTCCTCCATGCTGGCTTTGAGAGCGTCCATCTCTCCTGAATCACCCAAAACCTACACACATATAATACTAATAATGTGATTTAATATAACACAACATCCAACGAGACAAAACATGAAATAATGTAACATGACATAACATGTGAGCAGGTCATCTGACCTGTGCAGTGAGAGCCAGCAGGATGTCCAAACAGTGGATCTTGTCTCCAGGAACCAGAGGCAAATCCATGTGGATCAGTTTAATGGTGTTTGGTTTGGAGATCCTCAGAGGATCCTTCAGAGTGTCGCAGAAATCTGACAGCTTACTGTGGAACACAGGAGAGTCTATCAGAGCTCCGTAGAGTCCGATTAGGATCCATCACTACCAGTTGAAGACTCACCTGTACTGAATGAATTGAGAAGCATCGGGGTCAAACTTCTCCCAGGTTTCATAGAACATCTCAAAGTCGTCCTCACACAGTGGGTCAGCGCTCTCCTCTGTAGCCACGTTGAAGTTCTCCAGGATGATGGCGATGTACATGTTGACCACCACTAGAAAGGACATGATGATGTAGGTGGTGAAGAAGACGATGCCCAATGCCGGGCTGCCACAGTCCCCCCTCACCATGGATCCGGGGTTCTCTCTGTCGGGGTCGCAGTCCGGCGGTGTGTTCATGATGGGGTTCAGCAGACCGTCCCATCCGGCTGACGTGGTGATCATAAACAAACAGATCATGCTGTTCCCAAATGTCTCAAAGTTAAACATGTCGTCGATCGTGGCCTCCTTCCTCACGTACGCAAAGTTAGACATGCCGAAGATGGAGAATATAAACATGATTAGGAAGAGGAGGAGGCCGATGTTGAAGAGGGCAGGAAGTGACATCATCAAGGCGAACAGCAGCGTCCGGATCCCCTTGGCTCCACGAATGAGACGAAGGACTCGGCCGATTCTAGCCAATCGGATTACACGGAAGAGCGTGGGAGAAACAAAATATTTCTCAATGATGTCAGCAAGGAGGAGGCCTGAAGGGAACGAAGTAAGGAAACGAGACAAAATGTTTTTCTTCTGGGTTAAAGAGAACATGGTCGCTTCATCTCTGATCATATTTAATACCCCATAAATTACACCAAAACTTTAAGACATTTAAAGACATTTGTTGGCCTTAAATGTAAATAGAAGACACTTCGAGACAGCAATGAATGATGACATCACTTGATGAGACAATGACATCACCAGACACCGATTCACTGACTCACCTACAATAGACAGGATGACAACAACAAAGTCAAAGATGTTCCAGCCAACAGCAAAGTAGTGCTGCCGCAGAGCGATCATCTTCAGAGAGCACTCCGTGGTGAAGACCACGATGAAGACCAGGTTGACCCAGTACAGGATCATCTCTTTGTCCTCGCTCTGCTCGTCCGTCTCCACCATCATGGTCACCATGTTGAGGCAGATTAACACCATGATGAAGATGTCGAAGAGCTGAGTCGTCACCAGGTCAAAAACCAGAGCCTGGAACTTGTTCTGGTGAGACGAAGAGACAAGAAACAGAAGACGGACTGAAAGCTTTTCACACCTGGATTTAACGAAGTCTGGCAGGAAGGACCTGGACTGACCTCCGGCCGTGGAACCGGTTTCTGAGGTTTCTTAGAGCCCAGTTTCTTCATGGCATTGTAATATTTCTTCTGCTCCTCTGTCATGAAAAGATCTGTTCCTCCCAAGTAAAGACAACAGAACAGAGGAACAGATTAATGTCTGTTATCAGACATCAGAGTTTAAAATAAGGTCAGTGAGTAGAAACATATCTTTGATTTCTGCTGGTTGAAGTTGTCGATGATGACTCCAATGAAGAGGTTCAGGGTGAAGAAGGAGCCGAATATGATGAAGATGACAAAGTAGAGGTACATGTACAAATTGGCCTCGTACAGCGGCTGGAACTCCACCTACACAAGGTATAGTAATCATGGTAACCATGGTAACTAGAGTCAAGTCACTATGAAGGTAGTTTTGTTCCTGTACCTGTTATACCAGCATCTGTACCACTAAAGTACCTGTTAGTACTAGCACAAGTAGTACCGGGATCAGTATTAGTACTTTTATCACTATCATTAGGAGTACCTGTTATTATCAGTACTAGTACCGGTATTAGTACTTGTTCATGTATCAGCGTCAGGTCCAGTATTAGTATCAGTATTAGTACTAGTATTAGTATCAGTGCCAGGTGTAGTATAAGTAACAGTATTAGTTAGTGGTGTAACGGATCACGGATCAATCCGTGATCCGTTCGGATCAGCCCTCACGGTTCGGATCACTTGTGAACCGCGGATCAATTGAGTATTTATTTTCTATTTTTTTTTTTACAGTTTAATCATCACTGCGTGTAATAATGTTTTACTTCTGCTGTTCCTTTTCAAGTAACATGTCCCCGAATATCAATGCAGAGTGTCAGTGAACAGATATAAAGCAGTAGTGTGTTCATGTGAACAGAGCAGGTTAGAAGCATTTAACGGTGAAAGTCATGGCGAGCAGAGGAACTTGAGAAGCCCCCGGCGTCATTTAAGTGGCAAGTTTGGGAGCATTTTGTCTTCCCTGTAACTTATGACGGATAAGGGTGATGGACGAAACCATTACGGTATGTAGGCGTTATTTAAAGAGAAAGACACACGACACCGGCAATACATCGGCATGTCCACACATATGAAGAGACCATCCCATCTGTCAGTGACGGGGGACACTCCGGTGTGGAAAACAAAGGATTTCAAAATCTGGTTAAAATGCTTGAGCCACGCTACGAAATCCACTCACGCACCCACTTCAGTATGAAGCTTGTTCCAGGCCTCTATGAAAAGGAAAAGACTGTGACTGCTTTCACCACGGCGGAGTGGAGATTCATAGTCCGGTGCTGCAGACACGCCCCCTCTGTGACAGACACACACCTGGGGCAGGTGCTGACAGAAGCAGCAGAGTGGAAGCTAGACGGGCCCAATAGCAATATCACAGTCACCACAGAAAGGTCTCCCTTCACTCCAGACAATGGAGATATTCTCATCTTTTTGAAAATAATGTCACAGTAATGGTAAACATTATTGTGTATTTGAATGACATAACCTGACAGGAAGTAAACATAGACCCAAGTTGTTGCCGAGCAGTTCAGTTCAGTTGAAACAGTGGAAGCTAGCTCACAGGCTGTTTCTTTCTTTGAGTATTGATCAAAGGACGAGGGTATCAACATACCTCATGTTGCACTTAAACTTAACAGAATTGAGTATATTTGAATGTTTTATTTATTTCATTTTGTTTCAAATTGGACATCTTCAATATTTTTGTTTTTATGTAAGATTATAGCCCAAAGTTCTTTTCTTTAAGTGTTCTTGAAGTTCTTTAATTAATAAATGGAAAGCAAAGTTATATTTGTCTGCTCCCCTTTACTTTGTTGATCCAGAAAATGATCCGAACCGTGACTCAAGAACCGTGATCCGAACCGAACCGTGAGGTTTGTGATCCGTTGCACCCCTAGTATTAGTACTAGTATTAGTATCAGCGCCAGGTCCAGTATAAGTATTAGTACTCGTATCAGGGTCCAGTATTAGTACTAGTATTAGTATCAGTGCCAGGTCCAGTATTAGTATCAGTACTAGTACTAGTAGGAGTGTACATAGTAAAACTACTGGACGGTGCACTGACGTCTCTGGAGTCCACGGCTGCGTACATGATGTCCATCCAGCCCTTAAATGTGGCCTGAAAGAGAAACATTGAGTTCAGCTTTAATCAGACATCTGGATGTAAAACATCTGGTCATCTGCAAAGAGTGAAACTAGAAACAACCGGAAAACACCAGTGAACTCAGATTCAAACAGCTGTCATGACTATTATGAGTATGGATATGGCTGTGATGTTATAGTGATGTATAAGCTGTTATAGGGTTGTTGAGTATGGATATGACTGGTGTTATA